CTGAACGACAACAAAAGGCAAAAATCGCTTGGCACGGAACGTGTTAATGGAAATAAAAAATTGCAAAATTGATTTCGAAAGTTGAATTTCTTAAAAGTGAAATCGATGCCGTTCGTAACGATTCGAAAACGCTTGGGATAAAAACAGAGCACACAGATGCTCTTTTGTTCCCCTAGCCACGGCTTTTGTTCAACAGAACAAAGAGAGTCCACCTCTCTCTGTGAACCCTAATCTCTCTCGATCGCCAAAATGGATTATGAAACGGTCTCCCTACAATTTGGGCTTATCCCAAAAAATCGGCGACCTATCTTTCATCTCTCGCCCCTTGTTCAACAATTTTTATTTCCATCGAGTGTTCTTCAAGCCGGCTGGAAAAATATTTGAAGTTCTCGTGTAAGATTTTACAATATGCCTCGTCTCTACCTTCCTAGACTGCTCCGATCGGTATGATTAGGTTATAGATCACTATAACGATGACCTTATAATAATAGTTGAAAAATGTAATTTTATCGTGTAACAGTGAGTTGAGTAACTTAATTAAAATTTTAACGTACCTTAATCAAATAATCCTTCAAATTTCATGGTTATGGTATTTGAAAAAAATTATTATTACAAAATTTTCAGCGTAACACAATACAATATGATGCTCTAGAAGATACACAATTTACTCTGAAATCCATTCGTCACAACTGTGAAGTGTTACAATCACCTATCGCTATCCAATTAAGGACAAACAAAGCTTGCTTAATAATCTTTATACATTTCAAATGGAAATATTTCTAGAAATCACAGTTTCCCTGCCCGAGGAAGTACTCGCTAACGTTTGATCTTTAATCAAACATCGTAATCGTCGCAATAATTTTGATCATCACCCGTTAGACCACCGGTTGTACGATGTAATTGCAAACAAATAGGGAAAAATTTACAGCAAGATTTGCTCTCTTGCACAGAGATCGTGTGCTCGTGAATGATTTTATTGAAAGGCAGTGGAGCGATAATCGCGAAACCAAGGAGCAGGAATCGAATGCAGCGGAGCATGAGCGTTATAAAATAAGTGTATTATCACGTAAACGGATATGCCACGGAACCGTTATAGTAACTTGTACGTATATCGAAGATATATAACTGGATGCACCTTGAAAGGTAAAACTGCGTTCGTGTTTCCCTTCAAGCGAATATCTTTACGAGCATGTGTTTCGTTCTTATCCTTTTTCTTGTTTCCTTCTGGAACATATTATATGTTTAATGAACACCGCTAATGATAGTAAAACTGCGGCTTCCGTTATCTGTAAGCGTGTACAAAGTGTACGCAGGGGAATTCTTGATTAGCCGATAAAGTTTGTCGAGGCATTAATCGATCAAGGGAAGTTGTGGTTTTTTTCACAACAGCAGGAAAAACTTTGTTTTTTTTTTTTTTTTTTCTTCCTTTTACTTT